CCCCCATTTTATGACTCTTGATTTAAGGGTGGTGGGGTAAGTCAATGAAGATATATTGCAACTCAACGTAGGGAACAGTTGAGCTTTTAACTCAGGCTACATTTTTTTAAAAGAAGAAAGGCGTAGTGTTAAAGAAAAGGCATCTTTGGAATGAATGACAACAGCTTGTCTCTGCACAACAGCCTGAAATTTTAATATTGGAGGTGGGGGAGGGGCACGCAGGGGCAGAAAAATAGGGAGATAAAATAATAGCAAAGGAAATAATATGATATTTAAATGTTTAGGAGAAAGTAAACGCAATGTGTATGTTAAATACAACAAGCAAAGGTGAACACAAAGAGAGGGGAGAGAGAGAGAGAGAAATTGTCCCTTGGGCACCTGGGTTCTCTGTGAGTGTCCCCTGGATGCCTGGGTTCTGAGTGTGTGGGGAGGGGTTGGGGGAGAAAAGTGGGGTGTCTAACCTGAACACTTGGGTTCTTTGTGAGTGTGTCCTGGATGCTCGGGTCTGTGCAAGGGTATGTGGGAGTAAGGGAGAGAATGAGTGAGTGTGCATACCCCAGATGCCTGAGGTCAATTTGTCTGTGAATGTCCTGGATGCCTGGATTCCATATATGTGTGTGTGTGTGTGTGTGTGTGTGTGTGTGTGTGTGTGTGTGTGTCCTGGACACTTGAGTTCCACATGCGTCTATGTGCATGCACACATCTGTACATCAGACACCTGAGTTGTGTGTGTGTGTGTGTGTGTGTGTGTGTGTGTGCGCACGCATGTGCATGTCCTGGATGCCTGGGTTCTGTGTGCAAGTGCATGCATGTTTGTCAGATGCCTGGGTTCCACTTGGGTATATTTGTCCAAGATGCCTGGATTCCATGTGTGTGTCCCAAACAATTGGGTTCTGTGTGTGTGTGTGTGTACATGTACATGCACTTGCACATGCACCTATAAGCACGTGTATGCATGGTCTGGATGCCTGCTGGGTATGTGTGAGCCTATGTGTGTGTGTCTGTGTGGCTATGTGCATGTCCTGGACACCTGGGTTCCATGTGTGTGTGTGTGCACGTGTGCAAATGGTTGCATGGATGACTGGTGCCTCCTGAGTCAGGGAAGCACTTGCTGGGGGCCCCCCAGCAGCCAGTTAGTGACCAGGGGGGCTCCCCCCATGGCAGATCACACTGACCCAAAAGTGACAGCAGCATGCCGCTGGCACTTCTGGACACGCCACTGGCACTTCCGGGTGGCCCCACTTCCTGGCCAGTGCTCTCAGGGGGGGCACCAGCACTCTTGCCTGCCTCCCCTGCCCAGGAACGCTGGCTGTCAGGGGGTACACATGCACCCCCGTGTACCCGCTATGCATCACCACTGCATAGTTGCGTCCAGAACACAACTCTTGAGCTTTGCCCTATTCCAGAAATAGTTGGCTGTGTCCATCTCACTGGGCCCAACTCTACTCCACCAACTAGACCTATTAATGTGCTGATGTACCCAAGTGCAACTCTCTCCCACACTGCTAAGCAGCTGGTGCAAGACGGTGGGCATGGCTCTGCCCTGGGAATGGCTCTGCCCTAGGCTCCTCCTCTTCCTCACTGGATTTCGTGACCCATGACACTAGGAACATCACAAAATTAGGGGCATTCATGGATGACCAGAAACCAGGAGGGATATAGGTTCATAGTTAGACATCTACATTGACATAATTTCATAGTTTCATAGTTGGTAGGGATGGAAGGGACCTGAGCAGATCATCAAGACCGACCCCCTGCCATGGGCAGGAAAGAATTCTGGGGACAAATGACCCCAGGTCAGTGATTGTCTAACCTCTTTTTGAGGACCCCCAGGGTAAGAGCCAGCACCACTTCCCTTGGAAGTTGGTTCCAGATCCTAGCCGCCCTGACTGTGAAGTAGTGCTTCTTGATGTCTAGACTGAATCTACTCTCAGTCAACTTATGGCCATTATTCCTTGTTACTCCCGGTATTGCTCGGGGGAGCAGGGACTCTCCCATTGCCTGCTGGTCCCTGTTGGCCAGTTTGTAGACAGCCACTAGATCCCCTCTCAGCCTTCTCTTGTGGAGGCTGAACAGGTTCAGGTCCCGTAGCCTCTCCTTGTAGGGCCTGCTTTGCTGCCCCCTGATCATGCGAGTGGCCCTCCTCTGGACCCTCTCCATGCTGTCCACATCGCTCCTAAAGTGCGGCACCCAGAAATAGATGCACTACTCCAACTGCGGCCTGACCAGTGTCACGTAGAGAGGGAGGATCACCTCTTTGGATCTGCTCGAGATGCATGACAAGGTGTGGTTGGCCTTCCTGACCGTGTCCCCACACTGTCGGCCCATGTTCATTTTGCCATCAATAATGACTCCAAGGTCCTTTTCTGCCTCTGCACTGGCGAGAAGGGAGTTCCCCAGCCTGTAGGTGTGCTGCTGGTTCTTCCTCCCCAGGTGCAGCACCGTGCACTTGTCAGTGTTGAACCCATCCTGTTCTCATCCGCCCACCCCTGTAACCTGTCCAGGTCCAATTGCAGCCTATTCCTCCCTTCTAGCGTGCCCACTTCTCCCCACATCTTAGTGTCATCTGCGAATTTGAATAGGGTGCTTGTTACCCCTTCGTCCAAGTCACTGATGAAGATGTTGAACAGTGCAGGCTCGAGGACTGAGCCCTGGGGGACCCCACTGCCCACATCCCTCCAGGTCGAATAGGACCCATCCATCACCACTCTCTGGGTGCGGCCCTCCAGCCAGTTAGCAACCCAATTGACTGTGTAGGTGTCAGCACCACAGTCCCCTAGTTTTTTAATGAGAATGGGGTGGGAGACAGTGCTGAAGGCCTTCCTGAAGTCCAGAAAGACTACATCCACTGCTACCCCTGCATCTAAGGATTTTGTGACCTGGTCATAGAAGGCCACCAGGTTGGTCCGACAGGACCTGCCTCTAATGTACCCATGTTGGTTGCCCCTAAGCATAATCTCCCCTGCCGGCCCCTCACGGACATGAGCCAGGATAATTCTCTCAAAAAGCTTACCCAGGATTCAGGTAAGACTAGTCTCCTTACCTCATTGAAATCCACCCTCCTGAAGTCCAGGGCTGCTGCCTTGATGCAGGCCTTTGACACCCTGTGCTGGATGGTGAATTCCAGTAGGTGGTGGTCACTATCACCCAGGTGGTCGAGCACCTGCAGACCCCTCACCAGGTCATTGCCTGTGGCCAGGACCAGGTCCAACAAGGCATTTCCCCTGGTGGGACTGTGCACCTCCTGGGTAAGATAAATGCCCAATAGGCAGAATAAACTCTGGCCCCTAAGTGCATCTTTATTTGATGTGGTATTTTATCTGAAAGTAGACCTAGCTCCTTAAAATTTCAGGGGCACCTCCTATTTGAACATCTTCTCCTATTCAACATCTTCATCAGTGACTTGGGCGAGGGGGTAGAAAGCACACCTGTTCAAGTTTGCACGACACTAAGATGTGGGGTGAAGTGGGTACGCTAGTAGGAAGGAACATGCCGCAGGCAGATCTAGACAGGTTACAGGGGTGGGCAGATGAGAACAGGATGGGGGGTCAACACTGACAAGTGCACGGTGGTACACCTGGGGAGGAGGAACCAGCAGCACACCTACAGGCTGGGGAACTCCCTTCTCATCAGCGCAGAGACAGAAAAGGACCTTGGAGTCATTATTGATGCCAAAATGAACATGGGCCGACTGGGTGGGGACACAGTCGGGAAGTCCAACTATACCTTGTCGTGCAACCACAGATGCATCTCAAGCAGGACCAAGGAGGTGATCCTCCCCCTCTATGCGACACTGGTCAGGCCACAGTTGGTGTGCTGAGTTCTGGGCCCCGCACTTCAGGAGGGATGTGGACAACATGGAGAGGGTCCAAAGGAGGGCTACCTGCATAATCGGGGGCAGCAGGGCAGACCCTTTGAGGAGAGGCTACAGGGCCTGAACCTGTTCAGCCTCCACAAGAGTAGGCTGAGGGGGGATCCAGTGGCCTGTTACAAACTAGTCAAGGGGGACCAGCAGGCATTGGGAGAGTCCCTGTTCCCCCGAGCACTCCTGGGAGTTACAAGAAACAATGGACACAAGCTAGCGGAGGGTAGTTTCACTAGGAGGTGCTACTTCACAGTCAGGGCGGCTAGGACCTGGAACCAACTTCCAAAAGAAGTGGTGCTGGCTCCTACCCTAGGGGTCTTTAGAAAAAGGCGAGACGAACATCTGGCCAGGGTTGTTTGACCCCAGTACTCTTTCCTCCCATGGCAGGGGGTCGGACGAGATGATCTCCTCAGGTCCTTCTTACCCAACCAACTATGAAACTATGAAGGAATACAATGGATGCCCAGCTTCTTCCAGAAAGCCCAGCCCTTATGAATCATCCTAGTTGCAGCATCTCACGGCTCCCGTTTGGAATCTGAATCTGCTCCTTCCCGGGACTGACATCTCCAATCTCTTTGGGGATGCATGCCAACCACCAGGACTGACCAATGGTCCCTGAAGAGATGTTCTCTCCACTGTCCCTCCCAGGGAGGGGAGAAGGGGTCTTCAACTCAGGTTCAGAGATGGGTTGGAGTCCTACAAGGCAGAGGGTGGAATTAGACCTTGGGTCTTCCATACTTTTGAGATCATAGAGGTGTCAGGCTAGATGGGGAAGTCACACCTGATCCAACCCCCCCACCCCCCTGCTTCAGCCCAGACAAGGGTTTGTCCAATCTGCACAACAGCCTCAGTTTCCTCAGTCAGGCTGCCTTAGGGTTTAGGAGGCAGGGGTCAGAGACAGAGGTCATGGCGGGGTCCAATAGATGAAGACACGAGTGTATGGAGCTGTACCTAGAAAAAAGGGAGGAAGTGACATCATTCCACCTACTCCACAAGGGTGGGGGCCTTTATTGATTGGCATTGATGGATCCCCAATCTATGGGGCTGTACAGGCTGGTCCATCTCCTGTACCACCTACAAGGTCCACCACAATCTATAACCATCACATGGAGGGACAAGACACTTTTTCCTGGTGTGGGGGATGTTGGGTAGGGCATCAGTTGTTCCTTATGGTGTCCTCAATCCACTTCTTGAACCTGCAGACACTGGTATAGACACCGGGATAGTTGGGGTCCCCGCAGACCTGAGGTCCCCAGGAAACAATGCCTTGGAGCTTCCCATTGCAGACCAGAGGTCCTCCAGAATCACCCTATGGGGGTAGAAAGAGAGAGAAGAGAGGGCATCAGTGATACAGGCCCAAGTGCCAAGAGAAACCCCCATATGGCCACATGAATGATGAGAGATTTTTCTGGCTGGAGAGAAAGAGCCAGGTTGGAAAAGGGGCATCTTGAAGGAAGAAGAGAAGGAGAAACACCACCTGGTTTCCAGAACACACAGAAGATTCTCTCAGTGGTGCTAGGAGCTGTCATGCGTGGAAAGGGCTACAAAATGGCTTCCCTAGCTTAGCCCTTTCCATTGGGTCTTGCTCTCTTTAGTTCCTCACTAGGTTTCCCCAGAGGCTGACGTGGGCGGGGGTGGTGAGGGACATCCTCTCACAGCTAGCAGAGAGGTTCCCGGGAGCCTCCAGGAAGGCCTTTTCCTATATCTCATAGACAAACCAGCCATAACTTGGTGGCCCAGTCGGTTGGGATGGACACAAGACCTGGCCGAATCAGCACAGAGCCTGAGGCAATGTCCTCACCACCTTCCCACAATGCTCTGCTCACCTCCACCCCTGGCCTGCCTGGTTCTTCTCACCCCAGAGTCAAGCTGAGATAGCCCCTACCTTGTCCTTGCAAGGACAAAGAGGATGCTCTTAACGTCCCATGCCAAGATGTGCCTTCTTTCAAGCTACTTAGACATTGCATCATAAGGAGCTGATAAACCAACCCAGCCCATAACAATCCCTCCACTCATTCCCTGCTCTCCTCCCCCAGCTCCTGAGAAGTCAAAGTTCACTCCCAGTGCTGCCATGCCTTTGCAAGACCTGTGGTCCTTGATGCTTTTCTTCAACCCCCAGCTCCAAGAGTCCTGAGACTGGGACAAATCCAAGGTCTATGCATTGGTTTTGCTATCCTCTTTCTGGCTGAGATATACGATAATATTGTGTGCCTTAGTTTCCCTGACTAGTTTCTCTCAGGGGAAAGAAGGGACTGCAGGACTGGATGGTCTCTTCTGGTGCTGGAAACTATGAGTTTAGGAAGAGGCAGAGTTAAAGGTGGACACACCCATGGGGCACAAGTAACGGCACACGCAAGTGGGGCATATATGGGGAGAACAGTGAAGGGCGCACATCAGAGGACTGCATCCAATTGACCAATGGGAGGGGCTGCATGCTAGGAATCCCTGCTGGGGGAAGACTGTGTAAGGAGCTGAGAGGGGTGGAAAAGAGAAATCCCTCCCAGCCCCCCAAAATTCATCCAGACTCTCCCCTAATTCTCCTCTTCCCCATCCCAGTTGCTTCCACGACCCTCCAGGACATCCGCATCCCATGCCAACCCACTCACCTGGCATGCATCCACCTTACCCCCGCTGGCACACACTGTGTTTTGGTTGAAAAGGTTGGGGTAGATGACGTGGCACACCTCTGGGCGAATGATGGTGAGATTGGCACACTGGAGGATGTTTGGGTAGCTTACTGGAAAGAAACAGAATACTTTGCTTACAAAGTCATCCAGGTTTCTCAAAAAGTCCTGAGACACATTCAAATTAAAGCTAAAAAAAAATCATAGAATCATAGAAAATGAGGGTTGGGCCTCAGGAAGTCACATCTAGGCCAATCCCCTGCTCAAACCAGGACAACCCCCAACTAGATCATCCCAGCTATAGATTTGCTACACATTTTCAAGCACTTCATAGCTGGATGGACATTTTTGTAGCTGGACAGTCATTTTTATGATGTGATAATTATTGTGCATCTCTGGCTGGTCTCATTTTGCACATGTGGCCACACTACATTTATTGCATGCTTAACCAATGAGGTACCTAATATAGGCAATGTGTAGCACAGGCCTGAAATTTGAATTTATAGCCAGAAAAATAACCCTGCAGAAGAATGAGTTACATTTGACAGCTTGTCGGACTTTATACCAACCCTGCAGCAATCCAATAAAAGATACTCACCCCCCCCCACAAAAAATTTTGCCTCTCACTTAAAAAAGAAGACACTGAAAATCAAAATATTACAGAATAGAGGAGGTATTTTTTGGCAATCAAAGAGTTGGCATTATTTAATCTGGAGAAGAGACGACTATGCGGGGATTGAATAACAGCTTTCAACTACCTGAAGGGTGGTTGCAAACAGGATGGAGCTGGACTGTTCTCAGTGGGGTCAGACGACAGAACAAGGAGCAATGGGCTGCAGCTGCAGCAAGGAAAGTTGAGGTTGGATATTAAGGAAAAACTCTCTCACTAAGAGGCTGATGAAGCACTGGAACAGGCTCTCCAGAGAGGTGGTGCGATTTCCATCTTTGGAGGTTTTAAAGACCCAGCTAGACAAACCCTTGTCTGGGATGATGTAGTTGGAGCTGGTCCTGCTTTGGGCAGAGGTTGTACCAGATGCAACTTCGTAAGGTCCCTTCCAACCTGAATTTTCTATGATTCTAATTTTTTTTTTAAATCAACACGAGTTGAACAAAATCTTTTTTTTTTTTATTGAATAAAAAACTATACCCTTCTCCTGGTTGTTATTTCATTTTTTTTAATCAGTTGTCAAGTAAGTCAAGAGATCACTTGCCAACATGACTTATAAGCAAGAATGAACCACCTGTTACTTACACACTATACTTATCAGCAGTGCATGTATCACGTTTCTTAGCACGTTGATGACTTGCATAAACCCTTTATAAATAAAAGATCTGGGGAAGAGGAGAAACACCAGGTGCTTTCCTGCGGAAATTGCAACATTTTCCTCAAAAAAAGAAAAACCTCCATATATGATCCGTTTCTTAATATTTTAACCCCTCCTCCTCCCTGCCCCTCCAAAAAAACCCCACTGGATGCTTGGGTTTTATCTTGGGGGTTTTTGGTGTTGTTTTGGGGGGCATCCTGCTGTTGTCTGGGGAGGTTGTCGGCAACTGGGAAAGGGTTGTTTTGCTTTGATTTGGGGATTTGGGAGGTTTTAGAACCAAAATTTACTCTGGTTTCTCAGGAACAATGGGGTTGGTTGGGGGGGGGGGGGGAGATTTTTTTATTGGTATTTTAACACCTTTTTATTTTATATTAATTGTAATATAGTAATCTATACCATACATTGATATTTATATTAATTGTTATGTAATTTATACTGTGCCTTAATATTTATATTTATATTAATTGTAATATATTGTATACAATTGTGTATGTAATTGTATATATATATGAACTGTGGAGGTCCCTTCCAGCCCTACTTCTCTATGACTGTAGGATTATGGATTTGTATAGGATGGTTTGGATGGGGCTGATCCTAGGCAGGGGACATATATGACCTGAGGCAGGGGACATATATATTATAATTATATATATTATGATATACAATAATTAACATATTATAATATATTAATAAATGTATTTGTGTATTAATACATGTATTTGTTATTTACCTTACATTATATTCACATTATTTACATTACATTTACATTAATAAATGTAAATAATGCAATAATAAATATATGTAATTAATGTATTAATAATATATATTTATTGTAGGATTTATAATAAATTATTATATATGAATGATGTTAATATGTATTCATATACAATACTTATAAATAATTATTAATGCAATGTAAAGTGTAGTATAGGATCAGTCCAGTCTTAGTCTAGTCTAGTCTTAGTATGTAGCCTTATATAATAGAATCATATTATATATAATAAAACTCTGCCTTTCCAAGACAAGTTGTGAATTATACACCAGGGTATGTTGCATATGAGATAATACAGTAGGTTTCTCTCTCAGGTTGTTCCAACCCTTCTTGCTGCTAAGTCCCCATCCTAACCCCAAAAGCAGACGCCCATTACTGTACCTCCTGGGCTGGTGGTAGTACCCCATCCCGACACCTGACAGACCATGCCTGGAACAGGGCAGCTGGCAGCAAGTGCAAGGGGCTGGACATTTTTGTTGATTTGAACTGGCCTGCACAGCTTGACCAGCATGATATCGTTGTCTTTGGATCGGGGCTTGTAGTCGGGATGACGGATTAATTTGCAGGGCAATCTCAGCTGCTCTGTCCAGTCCACACCTTTGAGGTTGTGCTCTCCAAGGCGTATGCTGATGAGGCTGTAGCAGAAGACATAGTTAGACACTCAGGGAGCAAGGGCAGTGGTGGGGCTGGGGGGAGTGTGCTATAGGCAAGTACTGGCTTCAGGACTAGATGCAGGAATCATAAAGAAGTTGGGCTAGAAGGGACTTCTAGAGGTCATAGTGATCATTATACAGTCATAGAGAAGTGGAGTTGGAAGGGACCTCCAGAGGTCACAATTAGTCCAATCAACCCCCTGCCTGAGACAGGATCATTCCCTTCCAAACCATTCTATACAAATCCATAATCACAGAGTCATAGAGAAGTAGTTCTAGAAGGGACTTTTGAGGTCATAGACTCATATTCATAGAGTCATAAAGAAGTCAGGCTGGAAGGGACCTCCAGAAGTCACATCTGGTCCAACCCTCTGCCTGAGGCAGGAACTTTCCCTTCCAAGTCATCCTATGCAAATCCATAATCACAGAATCATAGAGAAGTAGTGCTAGAAGGGACCTGTGAGGTCATAGACTCATAGTCATAAAGAAGTCAGGCTGGAAGGTACCTCCAGAAGTCACATCTGGTCCAACCCCTTGCCTGAGGCAGGGACATTCCCGTCCAAACCATGCTATTGAAATCAGAAATCAGAGTCATAGAGGGACCTTTGAGGCCACAGACTCAGAGTCATAGAGTCATAGAGAAGTCAGGCTGGAAGGGACCTCTGGAGATCACATCTAGTTCAACCCCTTGTTGAGGCAGGATCAGCCCCATCCAATCTATCCTATGCAAATCCATAATCCTAGAATTATAGAGTCATAGAGAAATAGGACTGGAAGGGGCCTCCAGAGTTTCTAGAGTCATAGTCATAGAGTCATATAGTAAAGGTCACGTCCCAAGCTACAGAGGAAGGCAAACCACCTCTGTGCCGCCTCCCCAGAAACACACCCAGTCTGTACCAATCTCACTGGTGGGGGGCAACCTTCCTGACCCCAAATCTGGCATCAGTCTGATCCTGAGCACAGGAGCAAGGCCCTCCAGCCAGGACCCTCTGGGGTTGAGTCCCAGCAGGAGCGTTCAGTCACCACCCCTGTGGAAGAATGCCATCCCAGTATCTTCCCAGACTCTTCTATTATGTTTTTTCCTTGCCATTGTTTTTTCACCTGTCTGTCAATTTGGTTGCCACAGTTATGGCAGGTAGGAGGCTTTCTATTGTGGTAGCACTGAGTCACGGCATGGGGGCAGGGGCTCAAACTCATGCCACTCACTTAAGTGACCATCGGTGCTCTTTAAATTGACTGGTCTGCATCCAACACGTGGCCTGTATTGGCTCTCAAAGGTGATGTCAAAAAGTCTATATAAGCTCAGACTCCCCAGGGGGAGGGGGCTTCAGCCATGATAAGGTCACACTCAGCAACTGGAACATCTGCAACTCTCTCTGTCAGGATGCTGAAGTGAGTAAACTACCTGAAACCTATCTAGATATCAACCAGCTACTAACCTGCCACTGTCTGCTCTAAGACTTTTCTGTGATACTTCCTTATCCTATACCCTTCCCCAAGCCTACCCTCTTTAACCAATAACGCTCTCCAGTATTACAAGCATGGTGAACTTGCAGGGAGAGGGATTGGGGCATGCCTGTAAGCTCCCTAGGCTCGGATAATTAAGGGAGGCTACTATCTCTGATTCGGACTGAGGGAAGCACCCCAAGTTCTTGCGGGGGGTCAAACACCCTCAAGGCCTGTGTACCCCAGGGGGCACAAGGCCCAAATACAGACCAGCACCCCTGAGTGGGGGCAGTGGCTCCCCCAGGCTTGCTCATGTGCTCCAGCAAGGGGGTGGGCCAGACATTAGGCACCCGAGGGGAGGCACTCAGAGCTTGGTAGGTGGTTGGGCGCAGTGAGGTCAGTGGCTCAGCACCTACTCTACTGGCCTACCACACCCCCAGCCTGGGTTAGTGCCAACACCCAGTGCCTTTGAGAAAGGCTTAAAACCCCCCTGACACATGGAGAAGACAATGGGGAGCAACCAGCAAAGCTCAGACACCTAGGAGATCACCCTAGTAGATCACAGGCATCATGATACCTAGATCATCCCCCACCAGTGGTCTCCAACCTCTCCTTGAACTACTCCGGTGATGGAGAGTCCACAATTCCCTTGGGCATAGGCTAACCTACATCATCCCCCACCGCTGGTTGTCCAAGGTCTTTTTGAACCCCCACCAGCAATGGAGAGCCCACAGCTCTTCTAGGTGTAGACCTAGACCTCATCCCTGACCAGTAGCTGTCCAAGCTCTTTTTTAACCCCTCCAGTGATGGAGAATCCACAACTCCCCTAAGTGTAGGCCTAGACCTCATCCCTGATCCATGGCTGTCCAAGCTCTTCTTGAACCCCACCAGTGATGGAGAGTCCACCATTTCCATATAAGTCTATTCTACTGCATTTTTTCCTGTGTATTCCAGCTGACCCATGGGAGGGTTTCTACCCTCCAGGTTGTCCTCCTGGTCAGATGTGAATGGTATTTTGATGCTCAAAACATACCAGTTGTGGAAATGGGAAAAGTTAAGGGGATGGACAGAAAGAGGTTGAGGGAAAACACCAGAAAAGGCAGAGCAAATAACATGGGGAAAATGAGGCAGAAAGGTCCTTGGAAAAGGGGCGGGGCTAAAGCACAGGGTAGGGGCAGAGTTAAGGGTACGTGCCAAAGGGCTGGGGTCACAGGTGTTCCTACAAGACCATGTAGTGCTGTGGTCTCAACCATGAGATCTGTGGGGGGAGGGAGAAGCCCTGAAGGAGGTTCTATGCCCTGATGCTATGATGAATGCATGCGTGTTATCGGTGAGTACAAGTGCACACACATGCATGCACACACACACACACACACACACACTCAGCCATACATTCACTGTCACCCTCTTCCAGTACACACACACACACACACACACAGCCAGGCACATTGACCATCACCTGCTTCCAGTACACACACACAAAGCCATACATATTCACCATCACCCTCTTTCAGCACACACACATACACACGTGCACGCACATGCATGCACACACTTACCAACTGGTGTAGCAGTGTCCAGCTGTGACCACCCACTGGTTGGACACCAGGGTCCCCCCACAGTGCAGCTTGCCCCCTGTGAATAGGACAGCCTGCCAAGGCTGAGTGTGGGGCTGACAGGGCCTGCCATTCACTACCCGGGTGCTGTTGTGAACATCTGCAACACACACACACAAAGACATTTGTGCTCATACTATATTTGTATCCACCCACAACTGTGCAAGGCCACACACAGACACACCCACAGGTGCAGCAAATCATATACATTCACAGGTAAGCTCTCCCCCCCCCCCACATGTTAGTGGTGTGTACACCAACATGAACACACACTGATGTGTGAACACACAATGACATGCTTGTACCCAAACTGCATTTGTGTACACACAGACATGTGTGGACACATACAACACAAATCATGCTAGATTACACACAAAAACATGTGGATGTACAACACACTTACACACAAGTTGTGTTTGTGTGTGTGCATGTGCATATCTCTGCTTCAGGGGAAGCACCCTGCTGCATGTGTGTTGCCAACTGCCTGCATGCACATATGCAAGAAAGTGGACACACAATAGTATGCTTACACACAACTCACACTTGTACACACACATACACATGTGTGTTTGTGTCCCCACACAATTCATGCTTGCACACATGACCTCATGAACATCCCTGCCATTTGAACACATGTACGTTGACACATGTAAGCTCAAACAGAAGTGTGCAAACCCACACCCTTGGTTTTGCCAACATCTTTGTTGTGTCATAAGCATGTGGGACACACACATACACACACACACAGAACCCAGGCTTATATAGGTGCAAAACACACTGAGGAATGCACACAAACCTGCAGACTCATAGTCATACTCTGATGCATGCTCACACTCTTGCATATGAGCATGCACATACACACACACTCACCTGCAGATGCCAGGGGCAATACCAGTAGAACCAGTAGCCACACATCAGTACAGGTGTTAGACAACATTGGGGGATGGCTTCCTCTTCAAGGTCACTGTGGGAGGCACAGGAAGCAGGGGTTAATGGAAAAGGAGCTGTAGAACCTTCTCATTAAGCCCTACCCACTAAGACGCACCTCCACAATCCTTCACTCTGATTGGTTCACACCAACCTCCAGCTGACCAATAGGAGGTTGGATGAGTGATAACATAGCTGGGTCTATCCAATGCCCCCAACTGTTGTTCCCCACATGTGTGTCCCCAAAGCTGTTTGGGGGCCACCAGTTGCTCAGTCACTGGTGGGACTGGGAGATGGGGTAGGGTAGGGGATCCTGCAGGACCTGTAGAGGCTTCGACAAGGAGGAGGCACCCAGGAGGACAAGGCCCACCCTCATGCAAAGGGGTGGGTGGATCTGGCTTCCCAATAGTCAGACTGGGCCAGATTCTACCTTCACTGGTATTTACCCCGTGTTGTCCCTCCTGATTTATACCCAGGTGGCTGAGAAAGAACTGATTTCCCCAGAGTCAAGAACAGAATCACTCCTCATTTATACCAGGGGGCATAACTGGATCCGCCCCACCAAGACAACCCCAAGCCCTGCCACACAGAACCACCCAACTAGGCCACACATGGCATCTTGACCTCGCCCCTCCTGGGATTCATGAACCACCAAAAAGGACCAAAAGAGGGGCAGAAGATGTCGACTGGTATAAGTCTCCCCCCTTACCTGCAGTTCTGGCGTTGAGGACCACGTGAGCTCAGTGTGGAGGTGAGATCTCTGGTGGCTTCCCAAGACTTCAGCCTTCTCAGCTTCGCAGGACCCTGGGACAATGCCACAGTGTGTCTGAGGTCTGCAGAGAACGTCCCAATGGCGCAGATGAATTCACCAAAACAAAAAATCAAGAGGATGATATTCCTATAACTGGATGCCCCGCACTCCTTTCTCCACCCCCAGGCACCACCTTTTATCTCTACCCAACATCCCCACCTGGGGCAACAGGAAATATTACCTGGTAAATTCATACCACTGACACACC